AACATTCATTTTGAAGATACTAGGGCTTCCAGGTTGACCATTGGCCCTCTAATTGTGTGCCCGTGTGATGAATTTGGGAATCTTTTTCATATTATCATGAATATATGAATGAGTATAGACATGCAAGTCATGTGTGACTGTATATATGCATTCCTTTGTGCCTCAATACTGACGTAGATAGTGTGGATATTCTCTTTTTTCTGTCTGCAGCTGACGCTTCCTCTGCAGAATTGGTTTGATGGAACAAAGGCACTCAGCGCAGCTCGGTACAAAAAGGCAACAACGCGACCAGCGTGCATACAGCATGGATCGTGTTGGACATTTAACACAGCACCAGAGAACTCACACAGGAGAGAAACCCTTCAAGTGCACTGTGTGTGACAAGGCATTTTCATATCCATCAGTTCTAAGGAACCACCAGAGAACACACACGGAAGAAAAACCCTTCAAGTGCAGTGTGTGTGGGAAGGCATTTTCATATTCATCTGCTCTTAAAAAACACCGGAGAACACACACAGGAGAAAAACCCTTCAAGTGCAGTCTGTGCGCGAAGGCGTTTTCACAGTCATCTGGTCTTGTATCACCAGAGAACACACACGGGAGATAAACCCTTCAAGTGCAGTGTGTGGGAAGGCATTTTCAGATAAATCTCCTCTTAAAAACACCGGATAACACACACAGGAGAAAAACCCTTCAAGTGTAGTCTGTGCGAGAAGGCGTTTTCACAGTCATCTGCTCTTGTATTACATCAGAGAACTCACATGAGAGAGAAACCCTTCAGTTGCACTTTGTGTGGGAAGGCGTTTGCACATTCACAACATCTTAAAATACACCAGAGAACACACACAGGAGAGAAACCCTTCAGTTGCACTCTGTGTGGGAAGGCGTTTGCACAATCACCATATCTTAAATTACACCAGAGAACACACACTGGAGAGAAACCCTTCAAGTGCACTGTGTGTGGGAAGGCGTTTGCACATTCACAACATCTTCAATTACACCAGAGAACACACGGGAGAGAAACCCTTCAAGTGCACTGTGTGTGACAAAGCATTTGCACAGTCATCAGGTCTTCATAGACACCAGAGAACACACACGGGAGAAACCCTTCAGTTGCACTCTGTGTGGGAAGGCGTTTGCACAGTCATCAATTCTTAAAAGACACCAGAGGACACACAAGCATCAGAAGATCCCCAAGAAATGGAGTCTGAAATCGGCTTGTGAAAGTCAAAGTGCTGCAATGAGCCCATCCCTCATGAAACCAGAAGTGAATCCCATCTTGGACACTTTTAAAGGTATCAAGGTGAAATGTGAAGAGGCGAATGTGAAATGTGAAGAAGTGATGAAGAGCGAAGAAGTGAAGGTGAAATGTGAAGTGATGGTGAAGAGCGAAAAAGTGACGGTAAACTGTGAAGATGAAGATTCAACTCCAAATCGTACCTTCACATCGATGGAGACAACGTGAAGCAGGAGGAGAATTCTGACTGCGAGGCAGAGCTAGGCAACTCCCAGCAGTTTGTGGAAGTGGAGGTGTGGGTGGACTTCTTAGACAATACAAAGTCAAATGGAGACCCGGTAGATGGGTAGGCTTGAGACAATGAAGCTCCAATAGATGCACCTTTGTCACAGGCCTTTAATGAAAAGAACGTGAAATTGAACACTGAATTCCTGGGTTCAACCTGCAGAGTAAGAGCGGCGAGTATTTGTTGACCTGTGGGTTGGGTAGATGAAGAATCAGGAGCAAGAGCCAATAAGCTTCTAAGTATTCCACTGTTATATTTATATTGCATTGATATGGTGTTTAATTGCCTCAGCAACTCAGTTTCATATCTCATCACAAACACTCGAAGAGCACCTTCAAGTGGCAGCTGCCTCTGTCATAAGGTGACTCTGCTGTCACCTGCATGTGGGCATGAGTCTGTCAGTAGGGGGTGATGATTGATGTGTAATCTTCATTATGTAATTTCTGGATAATGTTTGAAATTGCCCAAATATTGACGATGACACCAACATGCAATGACCTATGCGTTTTGAATGACACAATCGTATGTTTTACATCCACTGTTAAGCAGACGGTGCATATTTTGTTAAATGTTCCTTGAGTAGCCAGACATGCCTGTCGGATTTGAACCTTGAACCTCTGCAATAAATAGAGAATGTGCTTGTACTTGGCTTCCCTCAATCTGAGTGTAGGCATGACAGCCTGAATGTGTCTAACTGGCGCAGATGTTCCATTTAGAGGGGTCCACGTTTCACATGCCTACATTAGGGAGGGCATGACTGGCCGAGAAGAACCGAAGCTTCATGTGGAGCGACAGACCAGGCAGCTTCCACAGCATAGCGCAGCCGATGTAAAGATAATGCCGCCCGACTGATTCGGACCACCCACACTACACGCAGTATACCCACAAGATCTACACACACCATGTACACAGCGTACACACAGTTTGCCCACACAGTATACAAACAGTCTGTACACGCACCGTGTATACACACAGTAACAACCGCCATTCGCCACTAAGTGGCGGTGACGTCACCACGGCGCTTGTGCCAGGCTATGTGCATGGGGCAGATCCAGGTGTCATGGGTCGACTGACTTAAATGACTGGCCAATGCACCACCTGTGCCCCCGACTGCGCCAACAAACAGTGTCCACACACAATGTTCACGTTGTTGTTGAGCACGCACCCAATGGGTCTCTGTTCAAGAGAGGGAGCCACAGAAATGGAATCTAAATAAACTTGAACTCTAACCCTGATCTCGCTCTCTGACGTCACCCCTCATTAACTCGGCATGATATGCGAGGGGGAGGTGTCCTCCATTAGTGACGTCATGTCACCGAGGTATTGACCCCCCACCGGGATTTTGAGCGTGACGTCACGTCTGCCGATTTCCGTTCCAGTAAAGTGCTTATTTGGGACGGGGTCAGCAGCCAAGAACCATCACCTGACATGGGCCCCTCTCATTAACATAATATATTCAGTTACCCTGCTGCTCGTTGGGGAAGAGGATTGTGTGAACCCCGCAAGTGACGTCATGTCACCTGCTGCTGCCGCATGACGTCACGAGTTACCAGGTAGCTGCTGCTCCGCGCACGCTCGCTCACTGAGATCCGAGGTGAGAAGTTTACATCGTGGTGGTCGTTGTGTTGTTGTGTGGTGATTGTTGTTGAACCCAGGTAGAGTCTCGCTCCTTCTTCCTGTCGTAGGGATATCAATTGAGTAGCAGCGAGTATGGAATCGATGTCCAGGTTGGAACATTACAACGCGCGGCCTAGCCATGCGGGGACTTGCCTCCTGCCCTCGCCTGGTTGCATTTGCTTTAATTCTCTGCTTAAGTTTAATTTGTCTTCACCTGGCTCACTACTTTGAAACTTTGTTTTACCTGAAATATTTCTACGTTTTTTTTTATTTTACCAGGCATAGCCCACTTGAGCTACACCGCTCTTTTTCAGAAGTGACCTGCCCACAACACATGGGGGCTTATCAACTTGTGGAAATCGTCTTGGTTCTTTCGGTAAAGTCACGTAGAAGGGAAGTAATACAATAATAAAATAAAACATAATAAAATAATTCTCACGACGTTTCAGCCACAACGCAAGCAGCCGTCCTCAGGTGAAAACCCAGGTCTGTCGACAGACCTGGAATTTCATCTGAGGGACGGGTGCTTGCGTTGTGGCCGAAACGTCGTGAGAATTATTTTATTATGTTTTATTTTGATTAGTTTATTACTTCCCTTCTACGTGACTTTACCGAAAGAACCAAGAAGATGAATCCCTGCAGTCACGGAAGCTTTAAATCGAAATTTAACGTGTGGAAATGTTTATCGGTCAAATACTCTAAACGCGTGGTGATGTTGACTCTAAATGTGCAGGGAAAACCGCAGGATCCAGAGGAGAATCCACGCGACCACGGAGAGAGAGGGACACGCAAACTCCAAATATACAGCCATAATACAGGTTTGTTTGTGTGAGATCGCGTAAATAAATCAATGTGCCGTTAGCCCCGCCATCACCCGACACAGCCAATTAGTAAGAGGTTTGTCAGGTAAACAGAACGTGGCCAATGCGTCACTAGTACAGCACTAGTGTGTAGTGTAGTGTATAGTATAGTGTATAGTAGTGTATAGTGTAGTGTATAGTTTAGTGTAGTGTATAGTTGTGTATAATGTAGTTAATAGGCCTCTTCAGCCACCAGCGTGCCTGCAGAAGACGTGGATGTCCTTCCTAGATCTTCGTTCGCGAAGCCAAGCCATGATGATGATGAGTGTATAGTAGTGTATAGTGTAGTGTACTAGTACATCTCATCGGTGTGTTGGAGAGCCAAGCCACAACATTTACAATCTGAGTACAACGTTTTGACACTAATTCCAACCATCTTCATCAGACGACAGCCAAATGTTGTGGCTTGGCTCTGTGGAAATAGAAATCGGCTCGTTGGGTTAATAGCGCAGCACGTTAACCGTTGCACTACCGCTCCCCACTCACGCACAAACTTTATCGGAAGTATAGTATCCAGTAATAACTTAAGTTTCCCGGCTTAGCTCAGGTCTCGGTAATCAAACATTAAGAGTAATGTCTTGCCATGCTGGCTTTCATTACAATTGAATTCTGCCAATGAAGTCTGTAGATGTGTGTATATTGTCACGGTTTTGTGTGTGTTATACAATAGCAGGGCTTATTTGTTTCATAATAATGAGGACAACTTTTAAATACGTTGCCCTTGGAGAGCTTCAGGATAGACAATATTTGATGTTTTGCCATCTGGTGGTGATGGCACAATTTGGTTCACAAAAAAACGTTCACATGCACAAAGTTTGCTTTATGTAGATTTTTCACATATTTGTCTTGCAAATGTTTTTGTATATGGTTTCTCAATGTTTATTTCAATTGCGTAATTTATTATTTATTTTCTTTTTACCTCAGGCCATTATTTACTTAAAGCTTAATTTTTGAATATTGCACTTTTGGCTTTGCGAGGCACTTTCCCAGATCGTAGTCTCTGATATTCAAGGGGCTGAGGATTACGGATTTTCAGCAGAAACTAGATCTCTGCTTTATTGATGTAATTAAGGCAAATAGTACCATATAGAGTATTGGGGCTTTGGGTTCTTTGTTTTTTATGTCTGCCTCTGCTCACATTCTTTGATGATTTTTATGATTTTGGGAAAGCCCGTCTAAAGCTGCGTGACCAGGAATCGGAGCCATTTCCTGTTCAACTTGGCTTGTGACAGAAATTCACGCTGGCCCCATTCATTACATTACAGAGCATCTTCAATAATTGTCGTTTGAGAAGCTCTCAATGGCCATAGAAATAAATTGCATTTGTTACGGTTAAAATGGTACGCGCATCGATGCCTGCTTATAGTTAAGGGATCGTTCCCTGGTCAACCATGTTATATCTGCTGATGATCTGGTCATGGCTACTCAATGAAATGGGGTTAGAGAATCTTGTTCTGTGCTTGGATAATTCCATCATGAAATGGGGCCTTTCGTATGTTCCACAAAAATAAATCACCTGCCTGGGAATTTGATTTTATACAAGACTGTACCTGCTCAACTCTCCATGAGTAATCAGGCAGTTCTGCAAGTGGTGGAGGAGCTCCCATGCATGGCTAATGTGTTCACGACCAGCTCTGGTTTGACAACCAAAGTCTCACTTTAAATTTGTCTAGCAGCATTCTTTCATTAGACTGTGTAACACTGTGAAAGCTGCCTGGACTTTTGCTCCATACAAAGCTGTGAGTGTCCATCGCCCAGGTCTAGTCTGTCTGAGACCATCCCCTCTCCCTGTCATGTTGGCATCGCACCCGCCTCTCACCCTTCGTCCTGTGGATGGTGGGTGCACAGGACGGTGCCACGCAGCCTTTCCAGGTTGAGCCCAAATGGGTTACGTGGGTCACCTAGCCACCAGGCATCGTTCCATGAGTGATATCAATATATAATATCTGTAAGGATGCCCCCTAATAGACTGTCCCTGGAACTCTACCAGGCACGTCCCACTGGGGGACGTCCCAGGGGCCTGGCCCAGGACATTCTGGTGGGAATACGTCGCTTGGCTGGCTTTGGGAACGCTTGGGAATTCCCCAGGAAGAGCTCGTCTGTCGCCAGGGAAAGGGAGGTCTGGACTGCCCTACTGAATGTGCTGCCACCACAAACCTCACCAAGACAAGAGGATTTAGAAATAAATGAACGAATAAAGCTGTCAGTCTTCTTGGCCACAGATATTACTCCTTTCTCTGTGGATGCACAATATGAACTTATTTTAAGGACTGTATGTTCTGGCTTTTATTAAGGCTGGCCTCCCTATGATCCCCTTTATTGAACCAAACAAGATTGTATTATAACCTTACAGAGCCCTAAAATATCAGTACAAAATATCATCTGAAACTTTGGCAGGCGAGGCTGCATTGGTTGGGTCATGAATTCCGCATAAACAGACAGCATGCACAATCATCTTCTGTTAGTCCAGATGTTACGGGCTAAACGGGCATGGCATTGGCTAGAGAAGAGATTGGAGGATGTGGAGTTGATCAGACCTGCTGTCAAGATCAGCCTCTCGAAGAGGCCCGTGACGTATGCTGCAGGGCAGTTGGAGGTATTTGCTCTGCAACAACAATGAGGTTGGAGTAGCAATGCTCACATGAATGGGTGGAATGCTGGGTGCCTCAAATGCAGCAAGACAGCAGGATGCACAGCTGGTGCATCTGTTAATCATTTCAGTCAACCCTTGACACCTGGATCATTCCCATGACCTGCTGACAAGTGATCCACACTTACATGGCATTCATGTGAAATATGTGTATGTAAGAGTTTATGTGGGGAGCGGTGGCGCAGTTTTTATACTGTGTAACAAAAAAAACATTTGTTCCTGGGTGGTATGTGTTATTTCCTAATTGCTTTTGCCTCTAAAGTACAAAAAATGGATATTATTCCCCACAAACTTTGCTTTTGTGACCAGGACAGTGATATTTAGAAATGTATCTCTTTTCAATGAGAAAATAGGTGAATTAGTTTTTTAGTTCTTGTATAATTCTGGTCACAAAAGCAATGTTTGTGGGGAATAAGCCATTTTCTAGACATTTTGGCATAAGCAATAAAAAAATAACAATTAGTACCCAGGAACAAAAATTGTGTTACATAAGTGTTATCACAATTAAAGTTTGATTATCGCTGACAACAAACGTGATTGATTGGTGAAAACTTCACTTATTGTGGGGAAGCATTATTACGGAGCATATGAAGGTGGCCAGGCATGGTTCTGAACACACCACCTTTTTACCATGCCATTGTGTGTTACAGTGTCAAGTTTGTATTTGCTGTAAAGTATATTAACTCGATTGAACACAGAGGTTAAATCTAAACAATAGTTTATTTTAGTTTTCCTTTGGAACTTTTTACGAGAATGGAAACAGGAAATTAACACAGCACATATGCAGCTGAAATTAGATCTGATCATCCCAGCATTCAAGGAAATCTGAGCCTGGCTTCACACCTTTAAGTTGTGATTGAACATTAATTTATGCATAATACAAATAGTATTATTTTCAACACCCTTTATGACGTTAGCTGCATTTTGCTTTCATAAATATTCCTTTTGTAGCCAGACAACTGAAATTGTGTGCTTGGAGTTTTAGGTTAACAGTCATTTTTAAGATACTAGGGCTTCCAGGCTGACCATTTGCCCTCTCATTGTGTGCCCATGTGATGAATTTGGGAATCTTTTTCACTCTTATCATGAATATATGAATGAGTATAGACGTGCAAGTCATGTGTGACTGTGTATATATGCATTCTTTTGTGCCTCTATACTGACGTAGATGGTCTGGATATTAATTTTTTTCTGTCTGCAGCTGATGCTTCCTCTGGCACTTCCTCTGCAGAATTGGTCTGATGGAGCAAAGGCACTCAGCACAGCTCGGTGCAAAAAGGCAACAATGCAACCAGTGTGCATACAGCACGGATCATGTTAAACATCTGATACAGCACCAGAGAACTCACGCAGGAGAGAAACCCTTCAAGTGCAGTCTGTGCGGGAAGGCGTTTTCACAGTCATCTGGTCTTGTATCACACCAGAGAACACACACGGGAGATAAACCCTTCAAGTGCAGTGTGTGTGGGAAGGCATTTTCACGTAAATCTACTCTTAAAAAACACTGGATAATACACACAGGATAAAAACCCTTCAGTTGCAATCTGTGTGAGAAGGCGTTTGCACATTCACAACATCTTAAAATACACCAGAGAACTCACACGGGAGAGAAACCCTTCAGTTGCACTTTGTGTGGGAAGGCGTTTGCACAATCATCACATCTTCAAGCACACCAGAGAACACACACGGGAGAGAAACCCTTCAGTTGCACTCTGTGTGGGAAGGCGTTTGCACAATCACCATATCTTAAATTACACCAGAGAACACACACGGGAGAGAAACCCTTCAAGTGCACTGTGTGTGGTAAGGCGTTTGCACATTCACAATATCTTCAATTACACCAGAGAACACACACGGGAGAGAAACCCTTCAGTTGCACTCTGTGTGGGAAGGCGTTTGCACGGTCATCAATTCTTAAAAGACACCAGAGGACACACAAGCATCAGAAGATCCCCAAGAAATGGAGTCTGAAATTGGCTTGTGAAAGTCAAAGTGCTGCAGTGAGCCCATCCCTCATGAAACCAGAAGTGAATCCCAGCTTGGACACTTTTAAAGGTATCAAGGTGAAATGTGAAGAGGCGAAGGTGAAATGTGAAGAAATGATGAAGAGCGAAGAAGTAAAGGTGAAATGTGAGAAAGTGATGGTGAAAAGCGAAAAAGTGACGGTAAACTGTGAAGATGAAGATTCAACTCGAAAATCGTACCTTCACATCGATGGAGGCAACGTGAAGCAGGAGGAGAATTCTGACTTCGAGGCAGAGCTAGGCAACTCCCAGCAGTTTGTGGAAGTGGAGGTGTGGGTGGACTT